TGAAGATAGCCCAGAGGGCAAGTGGGGGACGATAAGGACACTTTTGGCTTTGGACCGGAGGAGGAAAGACCGTCGGAGAGAGCGGTCTCGAGTTCGGTGTTGCTTCGGCCGGAAGGGTTACGAAGAACACTAAAGATAGAAATAGCATTGGAAGAGAAAAAGAACATTGGTAAAGCCGAGACTAAAGGACGAACTTTGGGTCCTCGCATGTGCTCCGTCCCCATAGAAGAAAAGAATCCCAAGACGAAATCATCTAGTGGCCACCACCGCAGTCAACCATTCGGGTACCCGTTCCTTACTAGAAATTTCCATTCTTGTTCTCCCATTCTATTCTAATTCTTGTTCTTCCTTTCCTCTTCTAGTTATAAGTAGTTTTAAGTTAGTAATTAAGTGTCTCCTTTGTTACGCGAAAGAAAAGTTTAGCTCCACTGTGAATCAACAATCGGTGTTGTTTGTTCCCTTTTGTTTAATTAAAGTGAGGAACAAGGAGGTCGGAATCAACGAACCTTTCCTGTATATATGTTCATACAGTAAAATAAAGCACGTCTTATTGTTTTATATTCCTGTCTCTTTGTGAGAATTCATTCATCACCACGTGCTCACCACACTGTCACTGATGTTTCCTTGGGCATCTACATCTGGCTCTTCTGGAAACTGTATGAATAATTGACTACTATCCATAGCCAATACACAATGCTTCAATGACATTAAGCTGTTTTGCCACATAAACTTCTTGATGAGTGGCCACAAGTATTCCTATAATGTGTTTCCTCATCCAGACAGTTCCTTCCAATAATTATTGAAAGAAAAAAAAATTGTTAACATTTAGTTAAAAAATTGCTGGAAGTCAGGTTTTTCGTTGTTTTAATTAAAGTATACCCAGTTTTGAGTGGTAGTTTTCATTATTGAAAGTTTTCCTTTTCATATTTCATGAAACACTCCACATTTGTAATGCTAATCACAAGTTAGAATGAGCTACCATATAAAAGGACATAGTTCCAATGCTCAGGACTACTATTTAAGCAATTTTTTTTATTGTACTTTTGAAATCAGCATAAAATTTTACACCAAACCAAATAATAAATTTGATAAGCTTAACTTTTTTGTTGCTTATTTTTTGAGCAGTAGTGTATTTTAATATAGTTGGGAAAAAGTCAAAAACAAGATGAAATATATTTTGATAATGCATTTATGTTATTTAAATGAAAATTTGCTTTTAATCTGAATACCATCGTCTCTTATAACATCTCACAAAATCAAGATTTTATTATATTTAATTATTATTGTACTGAAAATTAAATATTATAAAGTCTCTGTAAATCCGCACGAAAAATATATAAATTTTCGGTTTAGCGGTAGACCATCACACAGCAGATAGCTAATTACTTCTCTTTATTTAATCACTGTATATGCATTTCGGTCCTATTATATACAGTGATTAAATATATACAGTGATTAAATAAAGAGAAGTAATTAGCTATCTGCTGTGTGATGGTCTACCGCTAAACCGAAAATTTATATATTTTTCGTGCGGATTTACAGAGACTTTATAATATTTATATATAAACAGCAGTCATAAGAAATTTAATTAAAATTATTGTACTGTATTAATTATTATTAAAAGACTGACCTGCCCATAAAATCATCTTTTCCATGATAATCTCTATCCCATACAGAGACTTCTAAAATTTTTGGATGTTCTGCATACATATGCAAATCAAACTGTTCTAACCATTGAGGATTTAGAGTTTTATTGGAATTCTAAAATATAAGTTTCATAATCATTGCATAAACTATAACTTTTGAAAAAATATTTCAAAGTAAATTACAAAGAAACCTACTTTGCTTTTATATTTTTCTGTACCCAATCGGAATTTAACGTATGGGTCACTTAAACCATTTTCATCCATTGGCAATAAATTTTTACCTTCTACTAATACTATTGTCACAACACTATCCCATACTTGAGTTTTTTGCTTCTTAACAGCACTGTCTAAAGAGGAACCCAATCTTGATGATTTGTTGAAATACTAAAAACAAAAATGGTAAATTTGAATTCAACATTAATGCATCTATTATATGTTTATTTCCATTTTTGCACTGCATTAAATAATGTTATATATAAGTTTTAATACCAACATGAATACTGGCTTAATATGTAAATAAATCACACCATCAACACCAATAACCAGCAAAGCAAACAAAAATTTTTACTATAACTTACAGTTACAGTAAAAATTTTTATTCACTTTGCTAGTTATTGCTGTCAATGGTGTGATTTATATCAGTTTTATTTTGTATTATTTATATATTTTTCTTACTCATCCTTATATTACTAGACTTATTTCATATTTCAATATATAAGATAAATATAATTATAAGAGAATTTTATTTAAATATACGCACATTTATAAACAATAACACAGCTTTGGCATATATTAATAAAAAGATAACATTTGTTCTATTAAGATATAAAAGCATTGATCTTAAATCATAAAAAATCAATACCAAAACTTCTGGAGTCAGAATATTATATTAATCCATCAGCTAAATTATTTGGAAATCACTTAATATATAGTTGCATGCTGTTAATCATACTTGCATGGATAATTTGGCATTTAGCATAGTTAATTCAAGTCAAGTTTTTAAAACAAAAATAATTTTAGCCAATTAACTTCATTAAAAATGTTCATGTTTTTCTATTTAACCTTTTTTTTCTTTTTTTATTATTTTTCTCTTTTTCCGGAAATTGAAAAAATAGGTTTGATAAATGTGAATATTTAACTTTAAAGATGTAAATATCAACAAAATTTGAAGAGAAACAGAAAAGATTAAGAAATTTAGATAATCAAGATTCAATTGATGAAAAAATGAATTTAAAAACAAAATATTTTTTCACAGAAGAGATGAAAGAGATAATACATGTGACAATTGATGGCCAAGGCAATTAAGGCATCCACCACCATTCTGAAAACCCAGGATTGATTCCAGCAGGTCAAAAAATCCAAGGAATTTTTCAGAGAGTAAGCTGTCCTGGATATATTGAGCTCTAGCCCTCCCCATCTGATCACTCCATTGTAAACCAGCCAAACTCATAATGGGCTTCAAAAAAAGCCCTCTTAGTGCCCACAGGGTAGAAACAGAGGAAAAAAGATAATAGTATTTTTGATTTCACAACTAAAATGGAAACATGAAAAGTTAAACAAAATACTTTCCAATTTCATTTTCTAAAATTATTAAATCTAAATTCAATGATATTAAAAGCAGCTTCTGACTTAGTGCTTAAATATCTAAATACCAGTAATATAAATGCTGCAGAAATTTAATCAGAAATATCTAGTTTTAAAAACCATGCAATTTCAATAATTTGGGATACTAAAGCAGCTACATCTTTTAAAAATAAATCTTGAATACAATTTAATTCAATTGTACTTTAACTTGGAAGTTGTATTAAGAATATTTTTAACATTACCAGTCATTGTAGCTATTGGTGTAACTCTCAGCAAATTTAAAATAATTAAAATTTATCTGAGATCTTCACTTGGTCAAGAAAAATTGTTAAATATACTGTAACCATTCTATTCTATGTGAACACTAATTAAATAATCAATTAGATTTTAAAAAATTATTGATCTTCATTCATTAAAAGAAAAAAAATTTTAATTATAAAAAATGCCTGAAATTGGTGAAATATTTTTTACATTAATTACACTATTTCTATTTATTATTCTGACTGAATTATCAATAAAGATTTTTTTTGTTTTTTCAACTTTTCAAGTACAAATCAATATCTATGGTTTTATTTTCCTGGATATAAAAATAAAACTACTATTAAAAGTTACTATAACAGTTATAGTGCTATGATTTAAAATAGTTACCTTAAAATTAATTATAAAAAAGTGCACATTTATATTTAATTTTGCATTGAAATTTGGGGGTGTGCATTTATGTTTTTGCCTCAGATGAAGAAATTTCTAAGCACTGTTCTGATGTTTGAACAAAAAGATCCCTCAAAAAAAATTAGTTAAATACATGTAACTTCCATGGATTTAGACAAAAATCATAATCTGAAAGATTTACACAGCAAAATGAAAACGTGATAATATATAAAAAACTTTTATTTAAATTTATTAAAACTGAATGAACAAATTATCAAAAGTTGAACAGTTGTTATTTACTATACAAGAAAGAAATATTTTTCTATTCAAGGAATATCCTATAATTACATGAATATAAAAATGTTGTTACAGTACTAAAATAATACCTTGTTACAACATGCTGCAGTTCACTTCTGAGAATATTTATCTACTTTTTGATGTTTTTTAAACAAAATATTATACTGTAATACATGTTTAAAATGAAAATATGAAAAAAAAAAAATGCTAAAGGGATTGGCACCAAAGTTAAAAATATAAAGTTATCTTTAATTTTTTATATGTAGATAAGTTATTTAAAATATTATAATATTAATTTTATTATAATTTACATTTTACTGTACAATACTCTGGCAGACAACCAATTTTACTACAGAAGTCTTTTTACAGACATGAAAGTAAAAAACTTGACAAAATTTAATCATTTGAATCTTATTTAATATATTTGATTATAATGGTCATTCAGAATGAAGTAAATTATCATCATATATCAGATTATTTGGTAATAGTTATAGATTAATTTTAATAATTATTCAATATAATAATTAATACTGAGAGGGTGTTAGATTAGAAAAATGTTATTCTCATTACTTATACTGTATCATTTATATAAGATATAGTTTAATAGTTTTCTGACAACCAGCCATTTTTCCAACAGTAATTAGTAAGTCCTCATTTATTATTTTCTATTAACAAAAAGATTAAGCTAACTGTGAATTAAAGCAAGAATCTATAAAAAGATAAGATAAAATATAGAAAATAAATCAGAAATTACAATTGCTATAAAGGCAAATTTCATTACAAGACAAGTTGAAACTTCTGAAATTCTGATTAAATGACACTTGTTAGACATATTTTTATTCAAAATTATTACAAAAATTTAGTTGATAACAGTTCATTGATATTATTTGGTAGTATTTGATTTCATAAACTAAAAGACTTAATTGTTAAGTCAGAATATACATTTGCCAAGTGATGCTATTTGATGTCACTCACTAAATGATTTCAATTGACACCAATTAACATCATGTATTCAGAATTTTAAAATGTGGAAACATTGCAAGGCCTGCTTAATAACAAGATTGCTTCGTATAATTTCCATTATAATTACAAGATTGCTTCATATAATTTCCATTATTTAACATTCTCTTCTACAAAGTAAATGATTACAAAGAACTTATCATTTGTTATCATTTAATATCATTTCCTACCAATTTGCAAATCATTTAAAATCATTTACTAATAGTAAATGATTTTAAATGATATTTTTACTAAAATACAAGATACCATCACATCAGTATAACAAATATAAATTTGAAAATTTTATACATTTTACAATCAATAAATTCATTATTTAACTATTGTAATAGATACAGTGGTACCTCAGGTTACGAACGCCCCAGCATACGAAATTTTCAGGATACGACATGAAATTCGAACATATTTTTGCTCCACGATACGAACAAAAACTCACCATACGACGTTACATTAGTTCGCATTTTTCATTTGTTTTTCTTACTACAGTTATTTTTTTAA